ACAATGCCCAAGCAAATTATAGGTCTATAAGAGATTTATGGACGGAAATGCGATTTTTCGGGTTTTCATCTTGGTCAAAAAATTTACGTTAAAGCTATTTTGTCAAAGTTTTGTTTACTATTAAGTTGTTACATAAGTCTTGTTACACTTTGACTTCTTACAGCAATAAGTCATGCACCACATATTCTTTACAGGGATCTAGGGAACCATTCGAAAGAGCAAAGCAAACTCTACAAAATAGTCTCCAAAAGTTCGCCTCAAGTGCGACCCACTTTGAGTTTGCATTCAAAATGTGAGTCGCACCAAAGGTTAAAAAAAATTAGGAGAATTCATATCTTCGCTCAAAAAAATTTTCCGAATCTTCAACTTGTTCATAAAATTTGCACAACACGACAGACACTTGTATGTACTATTGCTGTGTTGCTTCCTCATCTAGAGATATGTTTCTTCCTCATCTGGAAATAAACGAAATTTTTCTTGTTTCTACAAAACAAAGCTATGTTGTTTTTTTTTCACGTTGATGTGTACTAAAAGTCTTTACACGCATAACCGTAGATTTTCAGTTTTGCGCATGCCCTGTTTTCGAAAAATACCAAATTCGGCATTGAACACCCGAGTGAGAAAAGCTAAATTCGGTACTTGTCGAAAACTGGAAAGCTGAAAATTTACAGCTATACTTCCAACGACTTGTAGTATACAGCTACATCAATAGAAACAGCATAACTCCGCTTTCGTGAAAACAAGGAAATCTACGTTTTTTCGATGTTTAAATGAGCAAAAATTACAGCAATGTTACATATGGGTGTCTGATGTGGTTTGCAATGTGTGTGAACAAGTTGGAGTTGCGGAGGATATTTTAAATGAAAATATGAATTTTTTTGAGCCTTCGGTGCGACTCACATTCCGGATGCAAACTTATGGTGGGTCGAAGCTGGTGCAAACCTTTGCATACCATCTTGTAGAGCTTGCTTTGCTCTATCGAACATATCCTAAAATTCTATTGAAATTGTGAAGTTTACAACTTATCGTCGTAAGAATTTCAAGTGTAACAAGACTTATGTAACAACCTAATATATTGTGGAGCTTGTTCTGCTCTATCAGGTAACCAGTGCATCACCTCTGCTTCGCAGAGGTTCGCACTGGATTTACTATCCGTATAACTTCCTTTTGATTGCGTAATAATGACTTTGAATCTCACCGCGCAATGCTGAATATCACAAATGAATTGTAAACAACTGTTCATTTTCAAAAATTTTCCATGTAAGATCGGTGATTGTGGAGAGAAAAACTATCCCGCGAAAGAACAAACGCGAATTTGAATGAATTAGTGGATTTTTTTTCCAACATCATTGTTCTCATAGGATAACAAACCCTTTAGGCTACATATCAGTGCAAAAATCTTTCCAATTTTTTGGGTAAAAACTTACTAATCGACTATTTACGCAGTCTTTCTTCTTTGAACTGCTTTAGCAGGAAAACAGAACTTTGGAGCAGATTTTGAGATAAGATTTATTATGGATCGCAAATTTCTTTGCCAGACAAATACCCGACATTGCAAAAAGTCGAATCTGCGGCTTAGTTTTGTGTGCTAAAGCCGAGTGAACCCGTGCCATTTTCAAAGAACCCATCCAACGAATCCATTGGCCACTATGCAGGGTGAACCTAGACGCTGCCAGCATACACTGTGGAAAATTTTGGCTCGAGACATCAGCTGCAATCGCTCTATGAATTTCGTGGCAGAGAGATATACACACACACGCGGACAGACAGGCGCTTAGCTCTTTATTATAAGTCATGACACTTTAATTTTTCTCTATCCTCTTCCGCAGTAGGAAGTGAGACATTGCTGCGTTTGCTTATTGTACCTTGAAGCCGAATTCCAAAAACATGAGGAGCACTGTTCGATGAAGCAGAGCAAGCTATAAGATTGCTACCAAAAATTTGCTCGAAGTTTGTCTCACATAAAGTTCGAAGGTAAATGTTGAAGGTATTCAGATGCATTGAAAAATCATTAAAAAACGCATCAACGTTTGAATAGTCTCACGAGCTTCTTGTTTGCTCGGGTATATATCTATACATGTGCTATTCCGACTGGAATTCTTGAAAAAGTATGCCAAAATGGGCAAAAAGTACGAAAAAGTCGACTCAAAAACTATCCCGTAAAAGATCAAAAAGGTCAAAAATCTATGGTTTTACTTCTTCTTCATACCATGAAATCCCCTAATCCCCTAGGAGAAGCCCATTGTAGCTTAGGGAAAACCATGAAAGTTTTTTTTTACCCTATTTCTAGCCATGGAAAGTTCACAGATAAATACCAAGGATGGTAGTAATGTGGCTTTGCCCATAATCCCAAGTACGTTCTCATAACACGAGGTGACCAGAAACTTTATATCGAAATTAGGATTTAACTACTCGAAATTTTCGAGATGTGGACAAATTTTCACTTAGTATAAAATTTAGCAAAATGATGTAATTGAGGGATATCGAACCCCCAGTTATTCTCCTTGACCGCCTTCATTGCACTTTATCAAATTTGCAGTTCGGTCTTTAATCTTGCGTTTTCTCATCATCTTATCTCAGAAAAAACCAAGTGAGCTTCCTTGAAGCGACTTTCAGAATGATCTTTCTCATTCCTACTCGCTCGTGAAATCATCATATCACTGTTTCAAATGAAAAAGTGGTTAGGGGTACATTTTTATTTCACAATTGTCTAGTGGTTTCACGTCTGCGTCTCATGAAATGAGGTGTTATTTTTATTACCATCATGACTTATAATAACTGGCTAAGGATGTTTACGTCTTTTTGTCTGTGTCTGTGTCTGTCTGTCCGTTACGAAATTCGTAGAGAGTGTTCCAGCCAGCGTCCTGAGCCCAAACTTTGCATAGCGCACGCTACCAGCATGAAAGCTCACTATACAAAAGCATGAGCGGATCCGCTGATTGGATCCGTTGATGCGCATCAAACGGATCCACTTGGCTTCTGGCCGGCAAATTTAGGTCCGTAGTACTACTTTTTGCAGAGTTATGAATATATTTGACAAGTTAATATGCAAGCCATGAACGTTAGCCTAAGTCTACCACTTTTGAAAACAGCGCCAAATAGCATTGGCTGTGTAAACGGTCAATTTTTCAAGAATTCACCTGATCATTTGAGAAGATTTATGCACAGAGATGTAGCCCACAATGTTTATTGTCCTTATGGCGATTACCAAGCCATAAAAATTCCAAAAACCTATTCAAATTTGCATCTGTTCTTCTGAGAAAGATTTCATACACGCGAAAATACCGATCTCACACGAAAAACCTCTAAGAATGAATAGCTGTTTACGAATCATTCGTAGTAGCCTACATCGCGCAGTGAGTTTCAATGTGATTATTATGCGGGAATGAGTAAGGCATAGATAAAGTAGGGGCAGTGCGAGCCTCTGCGAAGCAGAGGTGACGCACTGGTAAATGATAACAAAACAACGATTCTAACCTAGTTGCTACTTCTCACTTTGGTTCAAATCGAAACAATCATTACATATAAAAGAATAGTAAGGAGGAAAAATGCATTTTTTGCAGTGAAGGACTTTTAAACATCCGATGGTTCTTTGAAGACCGCTGCGGGACACTGGTGTGCGCGCTTGCACGGGTCCTTTAGTTTTCAAGGCATTGTATGAAAGTGGCATTCACGTCATGAATTCGTACTCTCCTTCATCGTCTTGTAAGTTTCTTATGCATTCTTCTCAATTATGGTACATTTGGGAATTTTGGGGATGTTCGATTTCACGATCATCGCATTCCGTCAGGTATGCTTTCCAGTTTTCGGCTGATGAAAGCCTCACATCCCCATAGAGTAGATCTTTTTTACCACGTCTGAGTGGAATGTCATGGATGTTTGCCTCTTCACCCAGCTTTATTCGCTTACAATGGCATCTCCACTGACGACAGTTATACTTGAGACTTGCCTCACTTTTGCCCATTTTTCGTCCTTTTTTTTGAATGAATTGTAGAATAGTAGCAAAGGCTAACTCGTTCCAAAAATGCCCATTTGCCAACCTCATGTTGGGCTCCGCTTCCCGTTTATCATTATTGAGGCAGCTGGCGGTTGGCGCTTGAGGTTGAAACATTTCGAATAATTCGTTACAAGCGCTTCCTAGGAGACAGATCTCATTCTTACAGATAACTGATACAGATATTGTTAGAAGAACATAGATTATGGCGTCATGTATGATCTTTAGGATAACTTACTAAAAACGACATTGATATCTCTTTCAAGATTGTCAGGGTGTGATTACCTAGTGGTTCTCTTTATTTTTCTCGTCTGCTCCTCAAGCGGCGCAACATACGCAAAACGAGCGTTACGTGCGAACGGTTCTAAAGTATATATACCCACAGAACGAAAGTAGAAAAGTGAGATAAACAATAAGAAAGTTTTTACAGACCGCTGAGAGTTCTGGCATGCCTTGAATGAGCATCACCGCACATCATGAAAGCTGAGGTAGAATTAATTCTGAGGTATCTTGATGAATAAACAGCCTTGAGGTAAAGTGTACCTTGAGATACATTTTACCTCAAGGTTCATTTTACTCGGGTAGCAATGATGGATACGGCCTCAGATGTAGAGAGTACCTCTATGGTAGAACTAGAAGTTTGCTTGAAAAACTAAAAAAAACTTGTAGAACTTTTTTAGACGACATAAATTTTTTATCGATTTTTCACGCATTCAAATTCTTCTAGATTTTGGCTTTAAGAAATTTGAAACTTCTAGCGAATATTTGAAAGCAATTTAGAAGAGACTGCTTCAGCTAGTAGCCCTCGTGCATTTTTGAGGCTCGCCTGGTTGCATCCCGTAGCAAGCAATCCTTCCCACCTAATAAAATCTTTTTAATTATTATCGAAGAGAAAGCTGTCATTTTGTGCGTGCATTTGCCCGCTGCCAGTTGCATAGAACGAGTTTTAGCCGAGATCATTTGCAATTGCAATCTTCTTAAGACTGTAAAAACGGTCAATGCTCACAGCATGTGGGACTTCTTCTATTCCAATAACTTCTTCTATTCCTTCATCTCCAATCAAACATTTCAAAGAGGACACAAGCAGAGGGATAATTGTTGCAAGTGCTATAGAAACTGAAAGAAGAAGTGTAAGGCAAGTGTAAGTAGTGTATCTATATCTCATCAATACAACGTACTTTGCCTGGGAGAGACCATCGCTTGCATGGCTTTTGAGTGAATGAATCATGTTTCACAATGCTAAACGTTACACGTCGGCGATGCTATACATACTCTATCATAAGATACTTCCACTTTAGTCTTTACACAATAGGCAGGCGGTGATCACATGCATCTCCCTGATAATAGCGCGGTTAATGCAGGCATTCTCGGTATGCCAACCGGGGCGCCTTGTTTTGTAAAGAGTTGAATCAGACTGCGCAGCGTAAGTGCCGTACGCGAGCCGTCGTGTTCGTTGAGAGTAGTCTGGTTCAACCCAAAGGTGACGTCACTGCCACTTCGTGCGCAGCCAGAACATAATCAGCTTAGTGGGGTTTTAATTTCGAGCAAGGTCTGGCACATAAGTCACATTGTTACGCTGAACTTTCTTTTGTGCAGAAAGCAAAGGGATCATGTCATACTATTACAATGGACTCCTCACAATCCGACACACTCTTTTGCCTACACACAAGTTAAAGACACACGTCAGGACTCACCTTGTAGGCGGCCCCTTTGCCGAGCACGTGCTCCATGTGTACACCACAAAAACTTCTCGGTTCCAAAGTGGCGGGGCAGAGTAAGGCTTTGGGGGGGAGGCAGGGGCAGATACATGATTCAATGCCTAAAGGGCCAGGCATACTTCACGCAATTTCAGTCGCGACGCGATTTGGCAATATTCCGACTGTCCATAACTCACTGTAAGCACATATTATATGTGCAGAAGATAGGGCATTTTGCCAATATACGTAAGCTATACAGACTTCTAACGAATTGCAAAATCGACTGAAATTGCGTGAAGTATTCCCGGCCCTTAAGTAGCAATGCAACAGGTGTACGGGCGGGTGCATCTTGTACTGCTTGACATCGCGTTGCGGTACCGCTTTAAAAAATTTCGCGCAAGCTGTGAGTCATGACCCGCTCCCACAATTAGTATGTAGATAACACATTCTATTCAGTTCTCTCACAAGCGCGCTAATTATAACAAGGTTATAATAGCATAGTTGATAGCATACACATGTGTGACTTCAAGTTTGTTTGAACTATACTAATACGGTATTATTTGATGATGTAACATATATGAGAAAATCTATCTGAAGTTGCCTTTAGTATTTACCTTACAACTTGCTCGTCATAGGGCACTATCACCTGCGCGTTTCTCTTCTCTTCTTCTTGTGCGGTGCGCACTTTTATCTAAAAATAACTTTTAAGGCATATCCTTTCCCAGTTTAAGCACGATTTAGCTTTATTGAGGCCGGCAAAGTCCTATCGTGACCTTCTCGCAGCTGTCAGCTGTCGTGTCGGCTGAAAACGGGGATAACCCGGCAAACGACCAGGGCACAGTCTCGTTAGGCGGAGCGAGACATTGGAGACTACAACTCGATCGTGTCACATGCATCGGACTATTAAGAATTTTCATCAAGCTGCTAAGGCAATGGCGCGAATAGTGAGCTAGGGCCATCTGCCCCGGACGAGGCAGGCCAAAGAAGCGAATTCAGGAAGTTCGACTAGCTTCAATGTATGGTATTCCCGGCCCTTAAGTAGCAATGCAACAGGTGTACTGGCGGGTGCATCTTGTACTGCTTGACATCGCGTTGCGGTACTGCTTTACAAAAATTTCGCGCAAGCTGTGAGTCATGACCGCTCCCACAATTAGTATGTAGATAGCACGTTCTATTCAGTTCTCTCACAAGCGCGCTAATTATAACAAGGTTATAATAGCACCAGTGCGTCACCTCTGCTTCGCAGAGGCTCGCTCTGGCTCTACTATCTAGGCCCTACTCATTCTCGCATAATGATGGCATTGGAACTCACCGAGCAATGCCGACTATCACCAACAAAATGTAAACAACTACTCATTCCGAAAGCTTTTTCATATGAAATCGGTGTTTTCGCGTGGATGAGACTTTTTGCAAGAGAACAAACCCAAATTTTTATAAGTTTTTGATTTTACCATGGTCTTGACAGTTGCAATAAGAACAGCAGTCACAGTGAGATATATCTTTGTGCAAAAATCTCGCCAAATGCTCTGGTAGAACCTTAACGAATTGACCATTTACTCAACCAATACTTTTTAGCGCCGTTTTTGCAAAGTAATGGACTTTTGATCACTTTTTTGGGCCTAAGTCCATGACTTGCTCATTTACTTGCTATGAACACAGACTCTGCAAAAAGTGGAATCACGGACCCAATTTTGGGGGTCAAATGCAAAGTGGATCCGTTTGACGCGCAGTTTCAGAGGGACTCAACGAATCTGCTCGTGCTTTTGCTTGTTGGACTTTCATGCGGGTAGCATGCGCTGTGCAAAGTTTGAGTCCAGGAGGTTGGCTGGAACTCGCACTACGATTTTCGTGACAGACAGAGATTCACACACACACACACACACACACACACACACACACACACACACACACACACACACACACACACACACACACACACACACACACACACACACACACACACACACACACACACACACACACACACACACACACACACACACACACACACACACACACACACACACACACACACACACACACACACACACACACACACACACACACACACACACACACACACACACACACACACACACACACACACACACACACACACACACACACACACACACACACACACACACACACACACACACACACACAAACGTAAACAACCCTTAGCCCGTTATTATTTATAAGTTATGATAGTTGATAGCATACACATGTGTGACTTCAAGTTTGTTTGAACTATACTAATACGGTATTATTTGATGATGTAACATATATGAGAAAATCTATCTGAAGTTGCCTTTAGTATTTACCTTACAACTTGCTCGTCATAGAGCACTATCACCTGCGCGTTTCTCTTCTCTTCTTCTTGTGCGGTACGCACTTTTATCTAAAAATAACTTTTAAGGCATATCCTTTCCCAGTTTAAGCATGATTTAGCTTTATTGAGGCCGGCAAAGTCCTATCGTGACCTTCTCACAGCTGTCAGCTGTCATGTCGGCTGAAAACGGGGATAACCCGGCAGACGACCAGGGCACAGTCTCGTTAGGCGGAGCGAGACATTGGAGACTACAACTCGATCTTGTCACATGCATCGGACTATTAAGAATTTTCATCAAGCTGCTAAAGCAATGGCGCGAACAGTGAGCTAGGGCCATCTGCCCCGGACGAGGCAGGCCAAAGAAGCGAATTCAGGAAGTTCGACTAGCTTCGATGTAGGAACCCTAGCGAGTCGCAGCCGAGAGTTATGTGATAAATTAAGGGAGCGACACGTCGACATCATCGCGTGTGCACAAGAAACAAAATGGAAGGGGAGAGAAGCCAAGGATATGGCGAGGGATATCAGCTCCACTGCACTGGAGAAAACAATCGCCAAAACGAAATAACAGTCACAGGGGTGAATACCGCAAGTTGGATCGAGTGGCGCGTATTTCGAGCAGACTGATGGCAATCAAAATCGAAGCAGGGGACTTCACATTCCGAGTTCTCGTGTATGCTCCGCAACGGGGATGCACCGATGCTGAGAAGGAAGCATTATGGGGGATTTTGACATCCTGCTACGACATTCGATTCGGCAGATTGCATCCTTCTAGGAGGCGATCTTAAAGGACACGTTGGTGATGCACATGATTATTTCAAGAGATATCACGAGGAAATGGTTACGGTCAGAGGAATGAGGACGGAAAACGCATTTTAGAAGCCGCTGAAGCACACGACTTAGTTATCGCAAACACATTCAGAAAACGGAAATCTATTTGATCACGTAAGCCAGTGAAGACCGCTTAACTCATTGTCAGATCGACTATCGCATGCTGCATCAATGTCATTTATCGATGGTAATGAATTCTTACTCAGACAGTCGACGGCATACCTCCGGAGCAGAAATGGCCGAGCCGCCGGGTTTTCTCAGCTGGGGATTGCCCCTCGTGCTTTGGAGCCCTCCCATTTGTGCTCCGGAGACCTCCCATTTATGCTCCGGAGTCCTCCCATTTTGTGCTCCGGAACCCTCCCATTTTGTGCTCGGGAGACCTCACATTTGCGCTCCGGAGCCCTCCCATTTTGGACACCGGAGCCCTCCCACTTTGTTCCGGAGACCTCCCATTTTGTGCTCCGGAGACCTCCCACTTTGTGCTCCGGAGACCTCTCATTTTGTGCTCCGGAGACCTGTGCTCCGGAGACCTCCCATTTTGTGCTTCGGAGACCTCCCATTTCGTGCTCCGGAGACCTCCCATTTTGTGCTCCGGAGACCTCCCATTTTGTACTCCGAAGCCCTCCCATTTTGTGCTCGGGAGACCTCCCATTTGCGCTCCGGAGCCCTCCCATTTTGGATCCGGAGCCCTCCCACTTTGCTCCGGAGACCTCCTATTTTGTGCTCCGGAGACCTCCCACTTTGTGCTCCGGAGACCTCCCATTTTGTGCTCCGGAGACCTGTGCTCAGGAGACCTCCCATTTTGTGCTCCGGAGACCCCCATTTTGTACTCCGAAGCCCTCCCATTTTGTGCCCCGGAGACCTCTCATTTTGTGCTCCGGAGACCTCCCATTTTGTGCTCTGGAGTCCTCCCATTTTGTGCTCCGGAGCCCTCCCACTTGTGCTCCGGAGATCTCTCACTTTGTGCTCCGGAGACCTCCCATTTTGTGCTCCGGAGTCCTCCCATTTTGTGCTCCGCCGGAGACCTCCCATTTTGTGCTCCGAAGCCCTCCCATTTTGGACTACGGAGTCCTTCCATTTGTGCTCCGGAGACCTCCCATTTTGGACTCCGGAGTCATCCCATTTTGGACTCCGGAGCCCTCCCATTTGTGCCCCGGAGATCTCCCATTTTGTGCTCCGGAGACCTCCCATTTTGATCTACGGAGTCCTGCCATTTTGTGCTGCGAAAGGCTGTTGCGGCAACTGTAACTAGCCCTAATAAGGCTCCAAACCCCAATTTTGTCTCTAAACCCCACCCAAATAAGCTCTAGACCAGCGTCGAGCATGGCATATGACCGCCGAATACGACC